GTCCACCCATCAAATCCATGGCTCTCCAATTTAGAGAGAAGGATGTTGTGGGGGACCGTGTCAAAGGCTTTACAAAAATCCAGATAGATGACGTCCATTGGTTTTCCCTTGTCCACCCTTGTTGTTACACCATCATAGAAAGCCACTAGGTTGGTGAGGCAGAACGTGCCCTTGGTGAAGCCATGCTGGCTGTCTCGAATCACCTCCCTGGCCTCCATGTGCCTTAGCATATCTTCTAGGAGGATCTGTTCCATGATCTTCCCAGGCACAGAGGTAAGGCTGCCAGGTCGGTAGTTCCCAGGGTCTTCCTTTCTACGCTTTTTGAAAAGGGGCACAATGTTTCCCTTTTTCCAGTCACGGGGACTTCCCCTGACTGCCATGACTTTTCAAATATCATGGAGAGTGGCTAGATTATTTATACACAAAGAAGGTAGCCTAAGGATTTTACCCTATCAACAGATAGTCAGATTCAGCATTGATATACTAAGATGATGTGTATAGTTATTTACAAGTTTATTGGGCAGGAATTAATAAAAAAAAAAAAGGTTCAGACATTTACATCCCCCCAAAATTCACTGAATTCCAAACCAGTATGTTGCTCAGTGACTATGTCTACGTTGGCCACTATTGTGGACTACAGCAGAAGATGTGGAGCGTGCAACAGTTGGTGCTGAGGGTCTGAGGTCCAGAAAAAAAATGCATTTCAGATGCTATTTACTTTAGATTACCTCTAGTGTGACTCCAGGGATGGACGGTCCATTTGTGGATGTGGTGCATTCCTTCCAGTTAATCTCATCCAGAAGGAGTCCACTTCATGTACTCCAAAACCAAGGCACTGCAAATTAGAGACCATTGAGAGATCCATGTTAAAAGTGCAGTCCTGTTCCAAATTACAAGACCAGTGTGAATGCACCCTATGTGAACTCATACAGAGGCAGCTCCCTTTGAGACCTCTCTTTCCACAGACTTTCTGGAAGCTGTTGGCAACACACCCCCTCAGTAGTGTTGGCTTCTTGCACTGATCAGATCGGTTACTGGAGCCCTTTACAAGCTCACAATCTAAAACCCTGTATTCATACACTCTGGTTTGAGCTCCCCACCACAAAACAAATTAAAAGGGAAAAATGCAACTTTTTAAAAATAAAGGAGACACTAGCAAACCAATCTTCTTATTCCAGAACATTAGCTTTTTTTTTTTTTTTGTAAGAACAAAGGCGCCAGCAAGCTGGAAGTTGGCTGTCAGAATTCAGAATAGATCTACAATTGCAGAAGTTAGAAATGGCAATTGTCTATTAAATGATTGACTATATTGCTGAGATTTTAAGGATTGTTCATGATATACTCTTTAAACCTTTTTTCACCCTAGACCTCATTTGATATTCTCTGGGTAGAGACACCTTTTTCTGTGCCCTTGAGGTCTTCAATATCATTGGATCAATATCAGGTGTAAATGTTTCTTTGTGAGAAGGAGACTTGGAAGCATTTTAAGCTTAACAAAGACCTATATCGGCGGAATGGATGATCAGACCTTTGTGTGCAATGTTTCTCTTTTCTGTCTAAGGTAAAGTGATGTTCTACTGCTTAGTAACCTACAGATAGCAGTCAACAAGAATCATTAATTAACGTTTCCAGTGAGAGTCAGCTTAATGAATACAAAACCACAGCCATGCAGGTGACTTGGCATCTGCCTGCCTAATTTCAGAAAGGGGAAATGAGGCTCTAAGACAGAACTTAAGAAATGGATGCTGGTGTTCCTTCAGAAACTTAAAACCAGAAAAGCTTTCTGATAATCTACAGTACATCAGATCCTTCTTATTTTGGTTCATTGTACAATATAAACATATTGCACTTTTCACCCTGGCAAAAAGGATAAAGGAACAGCATCAGGCGGTAGTAGAGTCATGCTGAACCATGTGGAAGGAACTACATGATAGGAGGGCACTGTGTTGCCAAGAAACGAAAGAACAAACACAACACAGCAGCACTGTTTGCATCTTGTAGATCATGATCTCTCACATAGATTTTCCTAAGATCTGTTCAGATATCCACGACTCTGCCACACTCTGAGTCTAAATGTACTCTGACAACAAGTTTTTGTAGCCATTTATTTTTTCTTCCTTAAAAGCCTATACTCGTAATGAAGGTCAGGACTGTGATGCTCACTTCGTTGCTCACAGCCGCACAATAACAAGCTTATTTCCCCTCGTGTTTTAGGAGATGTGGGCTCAGGGATGCTGTTCTACCTCTGAATCAATATAAAACTAAGTCAGAATTAGCGGAACCTTACACATGAAAACCACCATAATCCTGAATCCAGATAATACCTGCAGAGTGGCACTTTCTCCCAGTATAGCTTAATAAAAAACACCCTCTCCCTCTATCTCCAATGTAATGATCAACACTAGCAAAGAGTAATAATACGTCTGCTTAAACAAGGATTTCTTTAGCTGATATACCTCACTCCATCAGGAATCACACAGCCAGAAACTTAGACCAACACCATACTTTGTGGCACAAGGCAGAGAAACCCAAGCTAATTGGGAGTGAGTTGGAATATCTGCATGATTCACCACAGCCTGTGCTGTGAGAGCAGTGCAGTGCCTACACCACACTCAAAAAAGGCAGTCCTACTGGTCTGCAGCCACGTCCCACTCCTTCACTCATCAGGAAAGAAACATCCAACATCAGAAAAGGATGGTAGTACAGATGAGGTCTAGCTAAAGCAAGAATCGGGGCCACTCAGTGATTGAAGGGCTGATAACAAATGCAGACATGGCTGCTGGTCACCTACCCATTCATCTAAACATCGCTCTCTCCGGTTTTATATGAATGAAGACAACACACCAGTAAAACACCCCGAGGGTGGCCATGCCCATCACATACCACAACAGTTCATTGTTTCCTTGATAAAGTTTTCAGAAAATCCTGGACAAGTAAGTGAAATTTAAATCACTCACTTTGGCTCTTATAGAATATCTGAAATTGGAAGGGTCCCATAAGGATCATCAAGTCCGACTCCCTGCTCCTCCCAGGGCTTATCTCCTTAATAAGAAGACGGTTGGCTGTGCATGTGTTCTCCTGACGGGAAAACTGCTGCCACCCAAAAGAAAAGGAAGCTTTAAATTTTCTACGAGTTTGGCATCCATCATTACAACACTGTAAACCAAAACAATGTGAGGTGAACACGCATCTAAACACATTGAACTGCTTGATTTCAAATGACACGGATGTATGGAAATATACTGAATATCCTCAGCCACTCGCACATCCATGTGAAGTGTCTGACACAGCTTGCATTCAGTTTGAATTACAGCTACTAAACAGTAACATTTCTCCCCCTCCTGTAGAGATGGAGAGGGGAGGTTTTCAAAAGCACAAATAAAAAATTCTGAAATCAGTGTGAATTAGATGCTAAAGCTTCCATTTGTGCTACTACATATACTGGCTGTCCACATGTCACTTATGTATTACTGAAGGGACAGTGCAGACATCTATGTGCTGGCAGCTGAGACTCAATTAGACTGTAAGACGTACAAGCTGCATGTATCTATCACCTTCTTTTTTCTTCTCACTGATCAAAACATAATAGACTTGATTCAACCTTCATTAAACAATTGCCAATCACTTACTTCTCCTAGTGCCAGCTCACCATAATAGCATCACCCAGAATAAGGCTGAGTAACTCAGAGCCAAGAAAATAAAGCCAAATTGTCATTGTTTAAAAGATTTCAAGTAACGATCACTTATGCCATTAAAGAACTTGTTGTGTTTTTTTTCTTTCGGATATAAAGAGTTCAGGGAATCCCTTCACCGCTGCAAGTTTCCCCAGGGAGCAGAAAGGGAGGATGGAGGAATTGCACTACCTGTACTGCCAGAAGACAACAGGGCAAAGGACAAGTCTCCATGTACATTTTTTAAAGGACATCAGCATTATAGTAATGGCGTAGACTCTTGGCCAAGGTAGGCTAGACAAATACTTCTGACAGTCAAAATGTTTAAGTGAAGTGTTTTCAACAACAATTCCAACACACAGCTAACAGGTTAGACAGCAGTGTAGACTGAGATGTGCAAATATCTGCATTCCAAAAATGGGCAATTTAGGCTTCTACTCTTTTCATAATGCCCTAAATATTAATGTGGGAATGTATTGGTACCCACAAAACTCCACACAGTGTTTTGCTGAACATTTTGCTGAATTTCCAAATTTCCGTATCTATTTTTTGCCCATCATTTGATAATTATTTACTGTTGGCTGTTGTCCCAAACACCTTTCCTGACCTTAAAGGCTGCTACTGGCCTAATTTACAGCATACATAAATACCATAGGCATAAACATGAAAAGTCGGTGCTCAGTTTTTCCAGAAAGCTGTTGAGATCTGTCTAGACAACAGTGAAGAGGAAGAGCTCTGGGGTATGCTTTCTGAGTCAGGGCTCCTTCTCCTAGACTCTTACCACAACAAATATCTTCTTTAGGATATATTGGAGTTGGCGCCACTTCCACTGAAACCAGTTCCAAAACTTCTTATTCATCATGATAGTATTAGTCAAAAAAAAAAAAAAAAACCAACAAAAAACCTGACTAGCTGATAGATAGATAGATAGACAGACAGACAGACAGATAGGCAGGACAATGATGATGCCAAATCTCTGTTGTTCAGACATTCAGGTAGGCTTCAAATCACCATTACTGACTTACAGGAAAGCTTTGAAGGCAGAAAATGCTGCTGCGTAGGGCTGACTTGGAGAAGTTCAAGGATAGCTTCAGCCCTGCAGGCTTCCCAGGAGCACAGGAACGGAATATGCAGATCAGGCATCTGCATGGCTGTCCAAGGGTTAAAACATGACTCAGAGACTAGAAACATGCCTTCTTGCCCTTGCTCTTCTCTGCATTATCATGAACTAGCCTCTCTGTAAAATGATCATAGAATCATAGAATATCTGAAGTTGGAAGGGATTCATAAAGATCATCAAGTCCAATTCCCTGGTCCTCACAGGACTATCTAAAACTAAATAATATGAGTAAGAGCATCATCCAGATGCTCCTTGGACTCCTGACAGGCTTGGTGCTGTGACCACTTCCCTGGGAAGCCTGTTGCAGCGACCGATTACCCTCTCAGTGAAGAACCATTTCCTAATGTCCAACCTGAAATTCCCCTGATGCAGTTTCATACCATTTCCATGTGTCCTATTGCTGGTCACTAGAGACAGGAGATCAGCACCTGCCCCTCCGCTGCCCCTCTTGAGGAGGTTGTAGGCTGCGATGAGGTCACCCCTCAACCTTCTCCAAGCTGAATGAGCTGAGTGACCTCATCCACTCCTCATCAGTCTTGCCCTCGAGACCCTTCACTGTCTCAGTTGCCCTCCTCTGGACACACTCTAATAGTGTGATGTCCTTCTTATAATGAGGTGCTCAAAATTGGACACAGTACTCGAGGTGGGGCCGCACCAGTGGGACAATCACCTGCCTCGACTGGCTAACTATGCTGTGCTTGAGGCACCCCAGGACACTGCTTGATGCACCCCAGGACACAGTTGGCCCTTTTGGCTGTCCAGGCACACTGTTGACTGATATTCAACTTTCCATCCCCCCAAACCCCCAGATCTCTTTCCGCAGGGCTGCTCTCCAGCCTCTTGTCCCGCAGTTTGTACGTATAACCAGGATTACCCTGTCCCAGGTGGAGAATCCAGCACTTGCTCTTGTTAAATGATGCTGATGGGACTTCCATACCAGGAATGTGACAAAGTGCTGTGATCCCAGTGACAGGATCAGTGCAAGAATGTATAATAAGCTTGAAACAAGAATTGTCATTGCTCTTGTGTTTTTCTTTTCTGAATATGCAATCCCTTGGATTATTTGCTGTTCAGGCACATGACTGTAGAGCCCCTGATCCATCCAAGTGAATCCCACTCTGAAGATATAAAGAGGTCCAGAAACCAGCCTTCCCTTTTCCACAAGGTGGAAAATGCCTAGGTGGCATATAGTCTGTGTAGCTGTCTTTACATTCCCACCCTCACATCGCAAGCAAGCAAAGGTTTTGGCAAACTCAGCCATAGTATCTAATGAGAAGGTAGATGAGTCACAGCGACTACATGTCCCAACCCAGAAAATCAACTTAGCTGTCAGAAAGGGAGAAGAGGTTTGCAGGCTACTTTACAAACCCATGTTCATGACATCCATCTGTTGTTTTTCTTGGTACTACTGTGGTGTGACAGGGCTGAGAGGGGAGAAGGGGAGTCTCAGTGAGTTTATGTTGTGGTTTAACACCAGCTGGCAACTAAGCCCCACACTGCCACTTGCTCACTCCCCTCCTCCCCCGCCCGGCACACACCCTTGGCTGGGGGCAATCTGAAGGGTGAAAGTGAGAAAACTCACGGGTTGAGATAAAGACAGTTTAATAGGTAATACAAAAGCTGTGCACGCAAGCAAAGCAAAACAAGGAATTCATTCACTGCTTCCCACGGGCAGGCATGTGTTCAGCCATCCCCAGGAGAGCAGGGCTCCATCACACGTAACGGTTACTTGGGAAGACAAACACCATAACTTCGAATGTGTCCCCCCCTTCTGTCTTCTTCCCCCAGATTTACATGCTGAGCATGATATCATACAGCATGGAGCATCCCTGGGGTCAGCTGGGCTCAGCTGTCCCAGCCGTGTGCCCTACCAGCTTCCCATGCTCCCCCAGCCTCCTCACTGCTGGGGCGGGGTGAGGAGCAGAAAAGGCCCTGACTCTGCGTAAGCACTGCTCAGCAATAACAAAAACATCCCCGTATTATCAATGCTGTTTCCAGCACAAATCCAAAACATAGCCCCGTATTAGCTACTATGAAGAAAATCAACTCTACCTCAGCCCAAACCAGCACAGTTTAGTTTAAGATGGAGATGCTCAGCGCTTCTGAACACACAGCCTTGCATGAAAGCTGGAAGGCCAAATCTGCCCATAGATGGCCATGCTGCTCAACGGACACCACACGTGGCACAGAAGCACACATTACACTGGGCAGTGCAAATGTGGGAACGTGCTTAAAGAGCAAAGAGAAGGCAATAACCATTCTGAACTCACGGTTAGACCCAGAATATTATGAGCATATTCCTGTTGATCTGTTCTATAACACCAAGCCTTGGGAGTCCATTAAGCTGGCCATAAGTTAAACAAATCCCTTTTGATTCAGCATCATTTCTCTTCCTTTCTTGCAGTCAACATCTCTTCTTCAGCCATGCAATTAAGCCCACCCATTCCTTTTAGTAACAGATACTTGGTTAGCTGCTTTGGGTCAAGCTCAGCTTTAGCAAGGCCAGGTCAGAACTTTAACGCATTTCTAATACCAGGAAAATCCCACTGGTTATGGCTGATTTTTCCAACTGCATTTCCTTCATTTTGCCACTCCCATTCGCCCTCTCTTCTGTTGTGTTTTTTGTTTTATTTTTTTTTACCTGACTCCCATACTAACTCCTTTATTTTCCGTAGTTTAAACTCAAAGACAGGGATGGTGGTGTCTCCTCTTCAGATTCTTTTCAATAGATGAGGACCATGCAGTTTGGCTGGATTCTGGGAGCCTCTTGGCATCAGAAGGAGCTGAAAGTGATCCCCACAACACAGGAATAACTTCACTCCTTATCAGGCCAAAAGTTGGAACCCACACCCACTCAAGGCATTCCCACAGCTCCTACAGAGTATTAGGTGTACATGGTGAGGCGCTGTAAAGGCTAAGCTTTCACAGGGGGAAACGCTCAGCATTCTCAGGAACTTTGGATTCAGGCACGGGTGCTCAGTACCTCTCAAAATCCAGCCCTGCAGGACTTCTTAGATTTCAAAACCCAGGATAGATTTCCACACTGGCAGCATCTAAGAGTTTTGATATTAAATGTTATCTGAGAAATCAAGACAAAGACATATCAATTTATCTGGATTTTTATACGCAAATAGAGCACAAGCTTGATACATAAACGCTTTCTCTTTGCCCAGAGGCCTTCCCAATGAGCAATACTATGACATCACCCAGCTGAAAAAAAGTGATGTGCGTGTGAATGATGAACTTTAAGTTTAAACTATGCACTAACCAGATTGTGAATTTCATGAATATAACAGCAAACTGAATATTTGTTCTACTCTGGCGATATTACGCACATATGATACAAAGTGCAGATATGATATGACATCTGAAGGGCTATGTTCTCTAAAAAGGGATCAGCTAGCAACAAAGGAGAGCAAATGCAGTTGGGAAGGAAATTCAGAATACGGCATCGTACCGCATCGGTTTAGTATCTCTTCAATAATGGACTGCTTTACAGGTTGTCCATCTTTATCAACGTGTAATACTCAAAAATATTGGCCTTTCTACTAGTTAGAATCCAGATTAAACTGAAGTAACTGAAGTAACCATGACACCATGTGTATTTCCATTCATTTTTCTGGTGTGTATATATACATATATGGCAAAGATTATTTTCCTCACTACTGCTGTTCACGAGGTATCAGACCGAGTGAATTTGGATACTGCTAGAGTTTTGCAATCCAGGATTTTGCCACTTGATGGCACCAGCAAAACGTTTAAATTTGATCAAACTACCGAGATTTTGGATTAACATAACTTAAAGTGCAAATGTAAATTCTTCAAAAGCAGAAAATTAACAAGTTACAACTCTCATATTAGCATTCATAACTAGAGAATATTAGAAACCCGAGTATAATTCTGCAATGATTTCTCAGTTATCTTTACAGGGCTGTGAGACACCTTCTTTGACCCCACCACTCTCCCTTTAAGCTCCCAGCATGTGAGGTACCTGCTCCCATTTTGTGTAAACTCAGATACTCTAGAAAGCAGGGGATTTAATTGTAAACTGGACATTGAAGCTACACAAGGAAACCTGTAACCATCCTCTCTGTAACCCACTGCTTTTTGCAGGCTTCTCTCATTATTACCCTGTTACAGCATGCAGCACAAGCAGCAGGGAGTGTGGTTACCTACAAGAGTGTACAAGCCAAAACTCTTTCTTACAGCTTACGGCCTTTGACCAGCAATGAACATTAGAGGCATTGGCTGTGCTGCTTCTGCAGAATTTGATTTCAAGCCACACGGAAGTAGCAAGTTTCCCTGCAAGTTCCTTCCTACAAATTTCCTAAGCACTGAGTGACAAGAATTGGCCCGTGCACTTCTGCAAGACAATGGAGTAATTTTAAAGTTGTTCTAAAACCAACATTGATGCAAAGCGGGCACTCTCCTGTTGCACAGTCAAGCTGGGTGGTTCTGTTTTATTACTTAATCCATCCCCTAGAAAACTCCATTGACTGCAGTGGAATGATGCTGGGGAACAATTAGGTCCACTGTGACTTGCTAGTCAAATAAGCATCCTGTTATGTGACATTTATATTGGTATCCCTGAAACAGCAGAAACACAGATTGTGGAGTAAAACTAAAACCTGCCCTTTGCATAGGGTAAGAGGCCTGCTGTGTTTTCAGTAATTCCTAGGCTGGTCAACCTCAGATGCCTCTTGGTCAAGGATGCTCTGGGACCCATTCACTTCAGAGCAAGAGCATTACTTGTGTCAGCTCCTCACCAGAATGCAGCATCCACGTACACAGTCTGAGGCAGAGATCGTGGCACCTTTCTCGGGATTTGCTTCCTTAAGAGGAAGGAACCAGGGACTGCTGGGACTCTATGCCCTTGTGCTAGCTGCATAAGGGGAAGGAGGTTTTACACAAGAGTAGATCAAACTCTGTCCCTGTATTTACGGAAAAGTACACGACTTTGGAGTCTGTATATTTGATCAACAGCACATTGATGTACTTTCTCCATTATTTTGCACTCACATCTTAACCTGAAACATGCTGGGTCTCCATGCTTTGTCCTAGTTGGAGCATTTTCTTTTCCCATAAGGTTTTATTTTCTCATTCTTTGAAAGATGTTTAAATGAAAGAATATATCCTTTAAAACAAAAAGTGAAACACACACAAAAAAAAATGTTCCGCATTCATAGTCCAAGGTCTTTCAGAGCAAATATTCTTCCTGATGCCAGGGACTATTAAGCAGTGACAGCCATGTGGAACCTTTCCTGAAAAATACCCTCTGAATGGTGCTCTTCAGGCCTACCTGGGAGCTGTTAACACTCAGTTTATTTACCTTATAGCCTGTGAGGGCTCCTTTGAGCCATTACTGTCTTTTGTGGGAAATGAATTACCAGGCAGTTGCAATAATTCTGTACACTTTCATGGGACAACTATGCTCTTGCCTTAAGCATGCACACTACGTATCCTTGTGCAGTTTTGCACTAGAATGAATCACTGGGTTTGTGCAGATGTGCTTTTGTAAGCGCATTAGCAGTGGGCCACATGCACATGCCCTCCCAGTCAAATGTAGTGGAGAAAAGTAGCTGCCTCCTCCCATCTAAAGACGTAATGAGTTCACAGAATCACAGAATCACAAAAACACAGTTCACATCAAACAAGACTGCAAAATCCTGAAAAGCCTTGAAGAACACCCTTCAGCCATTGCCAAGAACCCTAGTTATACACACGCTCATGCTGTATCAGGCTAGAGAGTTTGCAGCTGTCCTTCCAAAGACAAGTCACACCAATGAGGTTTTCATTGCGTTCAGTGACAGCACAGAATGAATTAAACCTGGCTTTTTTCCATGTGGGTTTTAATCTGCTTTCACTGTTTATCACGCCACGCTGTACTTCCATTCCTCTGGCTGTCCCCCATCTCCTTGACCCCTGGTGGTTCCCTGACCTGCAGCCCCCTGACCAAGCAGGTTTTAAGGTTAGGCAAGATAAGTGATTGCCTCCCTTTGAAAGAATAAAGGGCTGCAGAGAAAGCCAGTTTACACATGTGAAATGTTTTATTCTCCAGCCATAATTTCCTTCCTGTTAAAACTGGCATGAATGATACAACTTCTTAATAATTTACTGAGTATGTGGGAAATTAACAGGAAAGAGCAGCAAAAAGTTCTCTGGCCTGATCTAGAAAAGAAGCTGAAGGTCATGAGGCTCCCTGCACTGCATCATTCCCAGGCTAACACCACACCTGAGAGGAGAAACAGCTCTACTCCTGTGTCCAAGAGTAGAAAAATAGTGGGAAGTGGGAGCCCCTTATGAAAGTCACACGGGTTCCAATGTGTCTTTTATTACCATTACCGAACAAGTGCATCTCTGCACCCAGTGCTCAGCATGACATGAGAAGGGGAGCTGCAGAACTACTGCAGGCAAAGCCAGTGTTTCCATAGTGATACTCCCTCACACACGAGACTTGGTTGATGCCTATTTTGTCAAAAAGCATGTGATGAGTGCCCACAGTGCACTCACTGCTAGGGAAATGGGACGATGTCCATCTGGACCCCTCCCTGGATTTATTCTGAGACTTTCCAAACTGTGGGCAAAAGACTGACAGACTCCATATCCTCTGCGGACTGAACATAACGGGGCAGAAAATGTATTACTGAGCACCTGTTTCTTGTGTGATACTGGCAGACTCCAGCGAAAGTCTACTAGAACTCCAGTGACAGCATCTCAAAGCCAAATTTGGAAAAAATGCTATTCCTTTCTTCCTTCCAGTCTGAGCTCTACTTTTCTATACTGCCATCCATTTGGGTGGCTTCAGGCTTGATCACCCAGTAAGAAACACTCTCAATAACTGTCCACGTTTGAAAATGCGAAGCTTTGCTGGCTGATACAACCTGAGCTCACAAAGCTTCTCTAAATCATGGCAGAGTCATGAAAATGCATGTTCATGTTTATTGCTGCCTTAAGTTTAGATATTACATAGAAAAGTGCTCTGCAAAGGTACTGAAGTGGTTTTGCCATGCCAGAGCACAGAGCAGACTGACTCTCCTTATCTTTTCGTATTTGTATCAGGAGTGTGTCCAATGAATGCAGTGAATAATGTAGCAATTCACATTGTAACACAACGTGAATGGAAACAGAAACTGAAGATACTTCTTAGTGTTTATTTTCAATTCACATTGTTACAATGTTACAATCGTAACACAATGGGAATTGAAAATAAACACTAAGAAGTATTTTCCTTCATATCTACAGCACCAGTTCTAACTGTAGAAATCGAAAATCAACTAGAAGTATGTGTGGAACAAAATTTTAAAAATTGCTGTACTGTAAGTACGGCTATTTCTATAAAAGCTTTCCATTTTAAAGACAGACACAAAGTTTGAATCAGACTCCCAGGTCGTAACTAATGCAACAATATACAAATGGTTTTCAGAATCCAACACTTCATTTAAGTCCTGTTATCTTTGTAGCACCCCACATTAAAAGTAGATCTTTTGTTCAGCTCAGCTGAGGCATGAGTTACGCTGGCACAGTAATCTGTGAGATATCACGCCTCACGTTGATTGCACTGAGTCTCACAGCTTCTCAGCACAGATTTCACAATGAAATGCATGACTTCTGCACATTGTATTAGAACAATGTGTGAACAAAATCGAACTGGCACTTGAAGTTTATCTTCAAAACACCCATGTCATTACGGAAAGAAATAAGCACAGGACTCCTTTAAATTCTTTGAGCAAATGGGCGTATTTCCTCTTTGTAACTGTGCAACACCTACTTTTACGGAGACTAATTCAATGATCGAGTGGCCAAGTTGCAGGTCTTGAACCACAGGTGACTTCAACAGTGCTTGGGTCCAGTGCCCATGCCACGGCTACATCATTAACCAGGAGACTGGGTAATCCCCAGCTGTGGGAGGAAGAGAGTTCCCGGAGCAACTGCTAAGGCTGAAATGATGGAGTTCCCACAGGGCCCGTTAACTTCCCACACAGCCCTGTCCTCTAACTGAGCAAGGGGAGGAGCCCTGAGACGTTATCACCATCTCCTCCTTGGGAATGAATTTGGGGCATACCTCTCCTCACTGAGAAACATGAGAGGGCTACATGAAGATTTTGGTACATGCCTTGTAGAATCAAGAAACTTTGTGTGATCACTGTACAAATAATAAAGCTTAAAAGAAAGACCACTAGCTGTCTATCTCTCCTACCCATATATGGTAAAGACCCTTTCAAGCAAGACCTGGTACTAAAGCCTTCCTCATGAAATACATGAGGTTTTGGAGCTCCAGGTGAGCCACTTAGATCTGTCCAGTAATATTGCCTTTCAGGCTCCTTTTTTTTTTTTATTATTATACCACTAAGACCCATTACGCAAATTAATTAATTTTTCAATCTTAGACATTTTTCTGACTTGGTGCAATTGCGAAGAGACTCCTAGCTAGCCTCAGTGATGAAATTCTCGCCCTTTAAAGTTAGTGTTATCTTTTGATTGCTTTTAAAAAATTTATCTGAAGCATAAAATCAGTCTCCATGGTAAAATATAAGTAATTTACCAGCATGGAATGATTAAGCATTTTCTCTGAGAGTATAAACTTTCTGTTTTGCATTACTGACAAAAGGAATTATTTTTACTAATAGCACATACCATTGCTATTTGTTTTGCATTACTGTTTTGCATTACTGACAAAAGGAATTATTTTTACTAATAGCACATACCATTGCTAATTAATATAGAGCTTATTACACAAAAGTGTAAGAGTCTAGATTTTCTCCTCGCTCCTTTTAAAAAGACATTCTGCACATCACTTGTTCCTGGTGTCTTTTCAGTCTTTGGCACCTGGCAACACAAAACATTCCTCACGTAACGAGTGGTATCAGTAAGAATATTGACTGCACTGCTTACACACTGATTTGTCCCTAATATATATTAATTGCACTGATTCAGATAAAGTGTGGGAGGTGCAAATGAACAAGGGTCACTTCAGGTAACTTATTTATTATTCTTCTTCCCTAATACAGGCTTCATAAACCACCAGACAGATTGGCTAAGTAAGTACATTTCACCCGTATCATATATTATCTTTCCTTCAAGAAATAAAAATGCATGTTGCTCATCTCACAGCCATAATTGCACAGTGCAGGTTCATTGGCAATAAGCAGCAGCAATGCTACTAGGCAAAAAAACTTCTCTCTTGAATGAAGCATGTAACGATAGGTTTGGCAGGTTAGCAGTGTTTGCCTAGCACACCCCGCTCTCCTAACAAATACTAATCTTGCTGACTTGCCTATGAGCTAATTGGGTTTTCCTGGCAGTGTTGTTCATGGGCTCTTTACCTAATGGGAACTACAGTGTTTAGGAACATCTACCAAGCACAGCTAAGCGATCCAGAGTATGTATAAAACAGATTTATGAGAGAGAAGCCTTGGAAAAACCCAGCTTTGCAAGACGTCTCATTATATCATGATGCACAGCCTCAGGAACAGAATTAATTTGGCCCCTGTATAAGACTTTATACAGCAACTGGAGAAAGGTACTCACTCTCAGTAAGCTGCTGTATGCAGCTGCAGTAAAGTTCAGAAGAATCCAAACATGGTGCTAGTCTCTCTTATTGGAATAAACCACTGCCTTAATTTTCCTCAGAAGACTTCAGGATCCCCCTGATTTTAAGATGTTCTTTAATTTTATTTCTTTATTATAATTTTTTTACTCTTTTAATTTTTTATTTAATTAACTTTATTTAATTAATAATTAATAACTTTAAATAATTAATAACTTTAAAACCTGAAAGCTGAAAAGAACAGCCATAGGAACATGGGCACTCCATGAAATCCCAGTTCTCAGCATCCCATAAAATTCTCCAGTTCAGCTTTATCCTCCTTCCTCACAGAAATAAAAATGTCTTTTTAGAGGCTAATTTGGATTTCACAAGCACTAAATCAGTTAATATTAACTGAAGCTGTGCAAGAATCAGAAGACCACATTTTTATTCCCTTAAGACACATAAAAGTAAATGTGAACTGGTATGACTGATTATGTGCAAAAGGTGTGCATCATTGTGAATTCTTTGCAGGGTGCAAGCAGAAGGGGATTAAAGCACTAAGATATTGCCTTTCTAATTCTCACATCTCTCCCAGTTCTTGCAAAGTGTTTTATTTAATGCTAAATCTCTGTGAAATGCGAAATCAGGATATTTTCTTTCTTTCTATTCTTCTTCCTGATGATTCAAACCAACCCAAGACCACTGTGTCTGCCACTTCCCAGCTCTCATCCGTACCAGACACACATCTCTCGGTACGCCATGTTCCCAAACTTCAGATCACCTGAGGTTTGAGACACTGGGATCAATGCAAGCAGTCATCAGCCTTTCCATCCCAATATCCCTACCAAGGCTTTTGATGTGGTTGTTCTGATGAAGACCAGAGGTAAGATAGCACTCTGTTGGTTTACCATTTATTCTTGAAACTTACTTAAAAACATTACTGAAGTCATGCCTCTTATTTACTGAAGCTTGAGAGAGCCAGAATCTGAATATGTCAGTGGTCAAGCTAAGCATCTTGGCTTAAATTAGAGCTCTATGTGCTAATAGCTGCAGTCTCCATGGAGGATACCTCAGCACTGAGAATGGTGACTAAACCCAACTCACATGAACACCTTGTAGCCTCAGAAGCCAAGAGAGCTATTTACATATCTGTTAATCTCCACAAAGGCAAGATGGATCATTTAGTGTATCTGGTATCTTCTGTCAGACAAATAATTCTTCACAGCCCAACAGAGTGGAAGAAAAAGGAAAAAAAATGCATCAGTGGGATCTAAAACTAGCAGTTTTGAGGCCAAGTAATGCCTGCCATACCTTTGCTGGGGTACCCCTGAAATGAGAGCTGAATGGTTTAACATATTTTATCACTACACAGATGGTAGAACAAGGTCCAGGGAGAAAAAGCAATGCTTCTAACCCCTTATGAATGCTGAGATGAAGCTCTAGATATTCATTATTTACAGAACACCATGTAAGCCATCATGAGGTGCTTGTTTTTAATCACAGCAGCATTTTTCTGTGAGAGTGTTTTATATAATATATTGGAGAAAAAGCACATTAAATTTTCTTTCTTAGTCTGCTTTTCCCTGCAGGCATTCTACTACATTGATATATTGACAGGTACTTCATTTTGGAATACTTTAAAGATCACCTGCATGAACTGATGAGGAGTCCTTGGCAGCTGCTGACCACACAGGGTTATGGGGAATATGGGACAGGAGAAAGCCAGCACTTCTGTGAGCCATGGCAGTGCTTTCCAGGAAGGGTTTGGCAATAACTGTGTGAAACAGAAAAAGCGTACGCTGGCATGGATAAGAAGCTTTTCAGCGGAGTAAAAGCTGATAATGTTAAGTAGGAGGTCAATTTGCATTAATTAGCTGCCTTTCCCAGTCATTGGCACAGTGCTGTACAGTTATGTATGTAATTGGGTACACAAGCCATTTTTACTGGAGTATTTGTCCACACAAACCCAAATCTTTCCACAGAATATGTAATGCTAGTAGTAGTCATTTTTAGTTAGTTTTCATTCACCATTGGTCAATTTAAGAAGCACTAATCATGTGTGGAGGTGGGCTTATAAAGCCTATTTTTGCACAACAGAAGGATCACTGGAGGCCGAGACCTATTTCCAGCAAAGCTTAGCAGGTTCAGAATTACTAGCTAAGGGGGCAGCTATCACTGGCACTTAAAAAATACTTTAACTTCATTTGCTGTTCCTTCCACATGGTTTGATTTCCTCTGCGATCAGGACACTCCAGCTCTCGGTGACTAAAGGAGAAATTTCTGGTTAAGTACAGATAACCCAGATCACACTCAGGTGATTTTTACTACTGGACAGTTTTATTTAAAAGCTCTGTGCCTTTTCTACACCTCACCTTTACAAAACACAGAGTGGTTACTATGTAGTTAATGCTGACAGCATCACTGTGAGTTAAATAGGGAAACTGAGGCAGAAAGAGTGGAGACAGACAAAGCAGTGATAGAACCAGGGTTGGAAAGTAAGATCTTCCAAGCATGCTGTGCAGTTTCATGTTTATAAGACACCTACTAGCACTCAGTTATTCCTCTGATGGCGACAGCATTGGACTGCAAAGCCAGCTTCACAATTCATCAAGCTTTATTTTTTGTTGTCACTGTTTGCAAAAATTATGCACAGAAAATGCAGTAAGAATCTGCCATGCTTGTGTATGAATCAGTCCAGATCTCCTGCAATTAGCCATGAGCAGATGGCTTTCTGAAGAGGCACTTTATCTGGTATAAGATCCAGCTGCTTGTCACCACCTCTCTGCCTGAGATGAGTAGCCTTGAAGATCTGGTGGTGCAGATAAATCACACTGAGTGCTTCCAAAAAGACAGCTGGGTTAACTTATGCTGATTAAATGGGTGGTCTGATCTAACCCTGCTGATTTCGCACCAAAAGAGTGAAGATGAGTTCTGTCTGCAGATCCATGAGGTCATTCTCCCAAGGTAGAAGAGACATTTGCAGCAGCTCACGGAAAGAACCTCTTCCACCAGCACAGCTGTCTTTATAGTGAGCATACACCTACAGATTAAAATGCAGATCCATCTGTCATTCTGATCCATAGTGTTCCATTACAATATGTTAAATATTTCTTCTATAGGTAATCCATACAGGCATGAAGTTGTCAGTATTCTCTTTGACTCCCAGGAGAAGGCTGTGCACTGGCCAGGACAGCACGCATACTTCCAAGTACGTACTTCATACAGAAAAGAGAAAAAAGACTTTTTTTTTTTTTTTTTTTAATTAAACTTCTCTGCATGTCTTTCATGGGAGACATTTTTACACAGAGAGCTCCTGCACTGTTCCAAACACTTGCAGGCCATGAAGCAGGCATCACGCATACAAAGAGTGAAAAGCTTTAGAGACAGTTTTCAGCCACTTCAGCAATACATAAAAAAAATAAGAAGCTAGCAGTCTGTCCTATGACTGAAGTGCTTTGAGAACTAACTAACTCTCGTAGGACCTAGCCAAGCAGCTCTGGAGATAAGAAGAAGAAGAAGAAACAATAATAGCTGCTGACCATACATTGGTGGGGGGGTGCTTGATTCAGAAGCCCAGATTATGCTCTGCAGCCTTTCAAAGAAAAGAATTTGGGCAGCAGTAGATCTTTATTCCTCCTTACCTCACCATAAGTCCTGCGAACACACTGACAGGCTGGTGTATCTATTTCCATGTCTTCAAGAAAATAGATATCCTCTTTGTTGACAGTCTTTCACTCCCACCTTGCCTTCCACAGCTGTAATGATGGAGACTAGGCTGGTCCATAAAACAGAAGACTGAATTTGTTCATGAATGATTATGTTTGTACTGTTCTTCAGCTTGGCTAAACATTAGTTCTCTTCCCAAAGGGATGTAGCCTCAAGTTTGATGAGAGAGAAAAGTCATGAATAGCGTAGTAAAAAATAGCGGTAAATGAAGAAACATACGACCTTTGTACACACACAGTCTTACGGATGTGGCGAGGGAAACAACAAGCAGCTGTCCATTTTAAGGCAACCTATTCTTGTGGCTACAAAAGAAAGCTTATATAGCCTGTAATGTTCTACTTAAGTGTGGCTACCATGGAGAACTTGATTCCAAGTTATTTGAATTGAGTTCAGCTGAATTATGTACCTGTTGAATCTTCCACTTGCATAATAATACTGTATTGAAGATATTTTTCCACCACATTTGTACTTTTGTAAGCATTTACTAAACAGATAAGGTGGGGACACACAGACACACGCGACAGCAGTGTGTGTTATTTCAAACTTTTAAAATAGCTTATCTACCCAGCACACATATTTGGTTTATACCATACATATTTCTTCTCATCCTTCAGCTTCCCAAGTTTTCTGAAGAAAAGTGTCAAATATACTATTCAAATCCGCGAAAGACAGTGGCCCCCAACTCCACTTTTAAAGACCTAGAACATAACCCCTCTCCAAGAACAACCAATCTGCTACGAAACACTGAAAGAGCTGTAGGGATCACAACGTACAGTCGAGACTTCACAGGTAAGCACTTTTTGTTAAATTAATTTACTTGGGATAGCAATGGAAGGCGACAAAGTGCTAGCCCCTAAATTTACCAAATAAATTCATTTTTTGTCATTTAACAACACAGATGACACAAACTGAGGTTTTTCAGGGGGACTGTGGCTAAATTCTGATTTTCCTAACCAATAAAAATGTGTGACTATAAAATATGTCTCCCTTAAGGAAGAGGTCCTATGAATCCCCCTATGCTGGATAACTGTTACATGAAAGCAGTTGGCAGATTAACTGGAGAACTAAGCGAAGACGAGGATCTAGTAAGCACTGCATTTACTGAGAATCTCATTCTTCCACCACAGGTAATACTGGCAAGAGTATTACCAGACTCAGCTAGCAGAATTAAGCCTTGTCTTTCGTAATACTTGAGTGCAGGGCAAGGCTCACTCTAAAGCAGAGGCGAAAGTTCTGTATACTAAAACAGCCCTGACACAGCTGGTTGACTGAACCTTTGTAATGGGTTGATGACTCATTCAGGGTTTGCAGAGGGGAAAGTTACTGTGATTATCTGCTTATGTTTTACCTTATCATTTCAACTTGCCACCAACAAATGACAGCAATTCAAAGGACCTTTTGCCTTGAGAAGTATGAGTAACAGTCTCCATAAAACAAATTGGCAGCTCTCATGTGAATGCTGCAGCACTACAGAGATCGAAACATACTGGATAGATGTCCAGAGACTGAAACATATTGGCTAGGTGTTCAGCTGGTGTTAATCAGGACAACTCCACTGAACTCATCAACTTACTGTCTTTATTGCACATTGCTTTATTTGAGAAGTGACCTAGTACCATTCTAGTACCATTGCAGACTATTGTCTCTTTACTAACTACAGCATTTTAAGTTTGGCAAAGTTTCTAAGATTCATCCTCCTCCATTTATGCAAGTCATTTGCCTTTTTTCCTTAAGGGTGCATCAGTAACATTACCAGATTCTACTTTAATGCAAAAGTTTACTCTAAAGAACATACAAAACTACATTCAGAAACTCCATGTTTACTGTCTCCAACAATTTTATATTCTGCGTGGCCTCTATAAAAGAGAAAAAAATCTATTTGTATTAAATGCTACCTAGGCAAATGAAGCATAACATGGTATAACAGGCACAGCATATCAAGTTGAGCTGCTTTTTGCTAATGCATCATTACCTGTAATGGCTTAAGCCTTTCAGTGACACCTGCACATTGTCATGCAGAGTACATACACGTCTAATTGACTGTAACTGACTAAGCAAATCTGCAGGTAAAACAGAAGGAAGGATTCCTGCTCACCCTTCCACAGCACTGCTGGCTTTACAGCACTTCTGGGTTCAAACTGCACAGCCATACAAGAAGCAGGGCAACTAAGATCCTGTCATTTTCTTATAGTCCAAAAATGGCCCTGGATAAAAAGTACCCAAATTGTCCTACTTTTCTTCTATTGGATTTAAAAAAAAAAAATCAACTAAGGAAATCTGTTTTGAAATGGTATTTACAAGTTTCTGATAATTGAATCCCTGTAACTGAAATGGAAAATCTGTCTAACTTTTTCTGCAGCGTGATGAAGAAACAAATATTTCATTTTATGACGATGAACACTTTAAAGACCAGTTTCAACAGCTGGTCTGTGGAAACGAAAATCCAAACTAGCAGCTTACATTAATTCAAAACTGAGCAGTTTTATTGCCCTCTGGCTTCCAAAGTGTGACTGGCAGAGGCCTACGCTGGCCCATGCTGATTTATTGGAACAACATTATTCCACTTAAAACATACACAAGTTAAACATCAAATACTCATTGTTCAGCACAGTAACTGCTGACATCCATTCTTTGGCTATAGGACTCCAATGTACATTATGTTTGAACAGTTCCTACACAATGCAGCTTTGACTCTGCACCAGTATCTGAAGACTCAACACTACAAATGATTAATACAGGGTAATAGTATTCAAGCAGTGCATCAAACTGTGGTTGAGAGAACTAAAAAGCCACATGCCAGCACCCTCAGTCCCTCTTGCAACAGTTCCTAAAAGAATTTAAAAGCACACTAATGCAAGTCACCCTTTATACTGTCATACTGCTTATGACACCACAAATGGAAGACAGAATTTTACAGAAGAAAGGAGAAGAGCACAAGTCATCTATACCCATTCATAGCTTATTCATTGGCATGGAGCAGAATATTTTCTATTCCAAAGCATAAAGATTGACTCTAAGCTCCTGAAGTGGCAAGACAGTAACAAATGTCTGGGCTCCTACCCTTTGCCTGGGAGACCCCTAACCGAGCTGTTCCACTAGTCTCAAACAATGGTCTATTCAAATAAGCAGTGCCTGCTAAAATAAGAGACTTAGATGACTGTAAATCCTACTCTTTCCTCCATATAGAAAGAAATATTTCTGCCTAGTCTCTCACAAGTGAGACCTCTTGAAGGGCGCACTGCATGTTTATTTCCAGGTCGACGTCCCCGTGAATCAGTTCTGCACGAACAGCTCTCTTCCAGTGTTCAGATGCCTCTGCCTCTACGCAGAGTCCCTGCTGTTGTACCCAGCCACTCGAACACCACGCTGAGTAAAATAAAAACAGCAGCCAGTCTAGGTTGGCAGTGTAAAGTGACAGAAAGCATGGACCAGAAATGGGAGGTGAGCCAGGAGAAGGCCACTCTGTCTCAGACATGCTACCAGAAAGTTCACTATCTGGATACTCGGCTGCAAATAAGCAAACTTCAGAAAATCACTGACACGTTGCAAACAGAAGCACTGCACAGACAGCAGCTTTCAGGAAGGCCTGAATCTGAGTCTCTTCCAAAATCTGCACGTTCCCCTTCCTACAAAGACTTCAAGCACAGAGATATGGATCAAGATACAGTATGGGAAAACCCAGCTAGTCTAAGTAACCCAGGCTTACCACTAGATGTCAAGAGTGAGGAAAACAGAATTTTGTTGCACAAGCTTTGGCATCAAGAGGCACGTCAGTCTGCACGGAGACCAGAGGATGGGCCAAGAGAGACAGCGCTGCCTGAATGGATCTCCGGCTGCGAGGTTCCTCAGTGTCAGGCAGCACTGCTGGAGCTGCAGCATTCCTTCTCTGAGACAGCAGCACAAAAACATTTTCATGATTCCATAAAAGGAGAGGCAAAAGACCTCAGAGATAACATAACTGAGGGAAAAAGACACAAATTCTGTGGTTTCAATGCTTTTTATTTCTTTAACTGACACATTCCTTGATCCTTTCAAAACAGAGTAACAAATAAAAAATACTTCAGTACAAACTGTCTGTCCTTTCCTAGAGAACCACAATAAATTCAAACAGTAAAGAGAAGACCAGCTAAGGTAGCTCAGGACATGCACAGCCTGTTTGAGAAGACTAGATGAGCTTGTCTTCGTCTACAGGCTGTGAAAACATAACATCCTGAGAAACACATTTGTGGGAAAAACACTGGTTAGGGGAAGAACTGGCTCATTAAAGGCCAAATGGGTTCACAAATAAGTGTTAACAGTCCGAGAGGGAACAAATTTAGGCTGGGAATCAGAAGATTATTTTTAACGGTCACAGCAGGGAGGTTCAGGATTAGCTCTTCAATAGATGAGGAGAGGATCTGAAAACAGGCTGCTTTAGAATGGATTTGACCAGTTTGTGAAAGGACCTATGGCACAATTGCCATCAACAGCTGGGCATTATAGTTGGTCACCCTATAAGGCCCTTTGCAGGCCCTCACAGGCACCAAGCTTCCAGGTCAAAAGGACCCTCTGCTGCTCTGCAGGGAGTGAAGTTCCAGTAATGTCAGCATCACTGTGCACCCACAGCGACAAACACGATGCTCGACAAACACGATGCTCGTGAGCTGCGGAGTCTCTTTGTCTGTGCACAGCACATTCCCAAAGCCTCCACACTCTAAGGCTGACCATGGCCTCTCCAAGCCTACATTCCTGTGTCAGACCTATTGTGGCTTGTATTTCATACCCTTCTCTTTCCTTTTTTACTCACTAAGACAGGAATGTTTAAGAGAACTGGAAAGGCCATAGAGACTGTATTTAAACTGCAGTGAAGACTGATAGAAGGAGAATGGGATTTAGCAATCCCTGCAGGGCTTTGAAGGAGCTTTAGAATGAAGTAGGTGAACAACAGAAAACATGCAATCTGTTATGAGGAGTTAGCCCTAGATGGCTGCAAGCGGTCAACGTAGTATCTAGGCACTAATACCTGGAATTAACTTGGTTGCTATAAAAATAGTTAAGAGCAGAGATAGGGACAGAACAGCTCTTCTGCCATGTTGTGCTTACTGAGCTGTTCAGGATTCCTGAGAAGTGTGAACAAAAACCAACCAAACAAAAACTTCCCCACATGCAACATAGTTAAACATCTTAAATCATTTTTTTAAAGCCATTTGAAAATAAGAAAGTAGCAAAGGAAACTTTAGTGGAAAGCTATCTCAGGGATTAGCAACTGGCTTTGCAAAAAGAATGCAAAGAATATGCTTAAATTGCTATTTTCTGTGTGCTGACAGATTAATATTGCTGCTATCCACAAAACAGAAACATAGCTAATATTGGTTCAGTGAATATCTTAAGGAGCTGCAGCCAAGTGGGGATTAGAGAAGCAGAAACAGCATATGGGCATTCACTGGCTTTTTTAACTGCTTCATTAAATGAGGGATTATTCAGTTGTTTCCCAGAGAGGACCTGAAGAGGGAGCAAAATGCCATTGTATTTTTCATTGAGAGATTTTTCATTGCAGTCTTCTAAGCTTCCCATTAAGAGATTAGATACATTCCCCTCTCCCTTCAAGCAAATCACCAGAGTTCAGGAGACTGCCAGGATCATACACTGAATATACGGCTCAAACAGAACAATGCTTCCAACTAGGGATTACCCACTGGACTTCCCTTTACAGGAAAAGATACTGGCAAAGAATCACAGCAGAAATGTAATTCCCTGATTACTTTTATTCACGCATGAGATCGTCATAAGGCCAATCAGGACACAGTGCCCCACCAGTGCACTATTTTCTGTGCAAGTATTCACAGGTCTCAGTGGCTACCAAGAGGATCTGAGGAAAATGATGTGACAGAAGTCAGCTTAATTTCCATTAGGAGAGGATATAACTTTGTATCTCACTTTTACTCATCTCAGAAACAATCAGACATTTGGTTCCTAAAACAGAGGTGATTAATGCACTTATTAGGAGAGAATATTAATTAAGAGAGATTTAGCTTGTGTACTTGTATTTGTTTTTGTTCAGCATGTTTCATAAGTAATAAAAAGCAATAAAGTCCAGGGAAAAAAGCAACAATTATTAAAAACACAGGATTAGTTATGCCCCAAGAAAGATATGTGAAAACTGAACTTGTCCTTTCTGGGGAAAAAAAATAAACAACAACAAAACCAAACCAAACCAACAACAACAACAACAACAAAACCCAAAACCATACCACACAAACAAACAAAAAAACCAACACCACCACCCCCTCGCCAACTATAAACTACAACTTAGCAATGAGTACATAACACATTTACTACAGAAAAGTTTCATCAGTCGTTTGTATCGCGTATCTGTAAGCCTCTGAAAGAAAAAGCTCTGGGACTTTTTGTTTGGTCAAATTCATCAGACAAGAGGAGCAACTTAGAAAGTACACTCTAATTCACTTGTTTATTTTTTTTGCCTGGAACATGACGAAGGCAAAGAGCTTAATATAATTTTAAAAAAAAGGCTTCGAGACATATCCTAGGAGCATAAGAAAAACATCTGCAATGCTCGTAGCTTGGATTAAGTGTTCTCAGTGCTCTGAGACTTCATGCATTAGGATAATAAGCTCATCGTGGGCAGTTTTTAGTGTCCACTCAACATCCAGCATTGATCGTTGTCAGAAACAGTGCTAAACTACTAATCTGCTCTGATATAACACTTGACACATTCCCAAAGTCATATGTAAAAACAAGCAGACAATGAAGCTGGGATATTAAAACCTGATCGTAAAACTACCAGCTAGACAATTACTTGATTAAAAAAGTCTTGAAAACTTGGCACAATAGGCTGCAAAACTAGCATGAGCTTTCTGCAGGGAGGAATCCCACCTCTCCGCTGACAGAAACATCCCATGGGTTGCTACCACCTGCAGCAGTGATTTTCTCTCAGCGAAGAAGACAGCCTGTAGATCTACAAATCATGAACATGTTGTCTCGTGACTTGGTCAGGCTTCACATTCAGCAGCTCCTCCTGCTGCGATATACAGCGCCCTCGTAGCTCTGCAGAGAACTGGGTATACGCTGAAAAGCATTAAGCCTGCCATAGCACACTAGTTTTATTTCTATCAGAGAAGAGGGCTAAATTTGCTAGTTTATGGCCTTATTTCTACTTCTGTCATAAACGGTTCCTCCTTTGAAAATCCTAAGGTAAGCAAAGCTTCTATTTTTTAAGACTCCGATCTGAGTCATGTAGCCATGCTAGTGCTCTTACTCCATGAAAGGACCTCCTGTCTGGCCTATGGCTTAAATACAAGAACTGTGTAGGCTTTAGTAGATTACATTAGATTAGAATGCCATCATTACATAAGGACACCCAACCATACAAATCTCCTTACAAAAGGAGTTTTAATTTGGAGCTTTTCTCAGGGCTAATTTGATGCTTTGAAGACTAATTTGACAATATCTTCACTTAAGCTGCTGCAAAAGTACTTCTTACTCTACAGCTTGGATTATTCAGAAGATAATGTCCCAGCTGGTCATGTAAATGAGAGGACAGTAACCTTTGGCTCCCACCGATATGCAAAGAAAATGTATTATCAATGTAGGCAACTGTCATCCCCTCCAAACAGGATATGGCTGAAATTCTTCCGTTTGATTCATTAGAAAGAAAAATCATATTTTAAAAAATTGAAAATGTGGTAACTTTGACCAATTTACTTGCCACCTAAAAACAGAAATTGAGGGCAGTAGAAACTACTGTTCTTGTAGCATGTTTAGAGAATGCTCAAGAATATTTATTATACCTAGATTAGTTTAAGCTTCCCAGTAAACCGTGGCAAACTCCACAATCGCATGAGACTAGCTTTAAAGTTAAAAACATAATGGGCTTAATAAAAGGATACCCTTTTATTTGCCTTTTGATTCCTAAGCCCTTAAACTTAACTTTAAAGTTCTTTTACAAAAGCAACAAAGTTATGTTTTTAAGAAAGGCTGAACTTCTGACAGATTGCTAGGTCCTGAATCTTTCAAATGTGAACGTCCTTGTGAGTTAACTTAGTTAATTTTGGCCTTGAGTCCAAAAAATGTTCTTTTTCTAATTACTTTCTTGAATCATCTACCTTTTTAGCCTATGGGAACTGGTTTATAAGGATTCAGAATGAGTTTTCTGATAGTAAAACAGAAGCTGATGCAGTCCTGTCTTAGGACAACTCTTGCACTTTGGAAGTCCTTTCTTGCTATTCCACGCTTCATTGCAAATTACTTGACTTCGTGCATTTATGTTTTGTACTCATTACCCCTCTGTACTCACTCAAACAAGATGCCCCTGTTGTGTTACTTGCCTCAAACCATGAACTGATTACAGACAAGTTGTATCCCACACTTCTGTCTATCTTATACTGAGGTCCAAGCACCCGTTATACTCTTCTGTGAGTCTACAGATACTTAGACATCTGTCAGTCTACAAGCAGCTACTAGAACAAATGCTTGAGCAGGGCAGTCCAGTATCTCAACGTAGAAAAGAGCAGCATTGAGTCAATGTTCTCAGCTGGGTGTCTGTGTTTGTTCCAAGGTGACGACAAGTGACTCTGAACCCTCGACCATCTTAACCGATCCAGCTCCCCACAGGCCAGATGTTGGGAATGGCAGAGACCTCTACCTACACCAGTCTTGGGGACACTTCATCATAAAATAAATGGCTACCAAATAAATCTCCATGCTTGTGACATTAATCCACAGCATCAAAGAATGGACAAAGTACTTTGGTATTTTCACACCTGTTAAATTAATCAGTAAATTTATCCCTCAGTAAGTGGTGCCTCCCTACCTGTGTTACCTGTCATTTTTTTGATAGCTTGCTGCAATGGTGAGCAACACTGCCTCACCCTGTGCCTAACTGGAGTCCACAACAACATCCTGGACAGGCAATTCTCAGCCTTTCTGTTCACCTGAAACCTCTCATAGTTAAGCCCTTATCTCCCCTAGTGCCATGTAGTTGCATCCACGGGCCTCCAAAACTCACTCTCCAAAACCACAGAACAGCAGATACAGAAAGAACTCTAAGTTCTGCCTTCATCTGCTAAGATCAAATCCTTCAACTGCCATTCTGCACCCTGGGGAGCAGAAAATATTTCTATGTCCCACTCCCAAATATTTTATCTTTATAACATAGGCATGTGACAATACAGCAGCAGTTCTTTTTCATTTGAGAATAGCTCTTATATTTTCAGCAATGGAAAATATATAGTGAATTCAATCCAGATATTAAAGTGAATATAACCCTTGTCATTTAAAAATCATAAAAATCACAATGTTGTCTGAGACATCTGCACAAAGCATAAATACATTGCCACAAGAAATTACTGTAAACAGGGCTTAAAACAAAACCAAGACTTGTTTGATAAAAACGTTACACAAAAGTAGACACTATACACAAATTTAGCTTTGTCTTAAGAAGGAGCCTCATCTGTAGTGACCCTTAGCAACTGCAGCATCTCAGAGACTCTGCCTTTCCAGTTGCTCCACGCAGTGGCACATTGGCCCTCTCAGACACAGCAAGCAGTAAAAATTGGTGGCACACCATTCATCAGGTATTTTTATTTACTCTTCAGTCTACGTTTTCCATATTTGTTCCTCACCTGTCTGGGTGAACCGGTTCCTGTCTTCCATTCAAATGCCCTGTAAAAGACATAATAAACATAAAGCCATCAGTATATTCCAAATGACAGGACTTGCACCATACCAATGCTGAAAAGTAACACTCAAAGCATATGTTTGCCACTGCAGAATATTTTTGAAGGATCCTAGCATCAAGAATATTTCAAGCCCCCAGAATCGCTTTCATGTGATAAACCAGGCTTTGAAAAAACTATGGCAAGATACTCCTTTCTCCAGAACAATTTCAAAGGCATAGGTAAAAAAAAAAAAAAGAAAAAAGAAAAAAAGAAAAAAGCAGGTCTTCTGAACAGCTTCAGTACAATTCAGAAATCATAATGGCGCAAATTAGCCAGTACGCTTTTGTGATGAGGTAAGATTTATGGCTCAGGTCAAAACTCAAGCTCTTCCTTAAAACCAGCTCACACCACCATGCCTGCAGCACAAATCATGGACTCGCCAACACTGGCAGTTGGCTGGTAACTAGCAGCAGTGCAGGCTTGGCCCACTTCCACGTGGTAAGAGGATGAAAAGAGGCCAAGGTACTTAAGCACCTAATCCCTGATGATTTCAACACAAGAAATGGGCTCTAAGGTATTTGTCAGAGAGCAAACAAGAAGTTTTTCACAGAACTGAAAAAAACCCCACGTTCTCCTGAGTTCCAGACTAGGCCCATAAGGCCATCTTTCTTCTTTTATCTGCAGTGTACCTCTTAAAGAGAACTGGTTGGCTCTTATGCCATGTTTCCTTCAGTACTGGACTTCACACAGTTGGTTTATTTTTCCTTCCTTCGGGACAGAATTACACAGCAATAATTCTGATTGCAAAATAACTATTGTTCCAGTGTGTAGTGTTTGGAGGTAGTAAAAAGACAAAGGTATTTCAGTTGTAACCACAGTGAATAACTGAAAGACTACAATACGAAATTTCTAGGCAAACCACACCAAGGCAAACAAGTCTAATAAATGTTAATGCATGTAAGAAAGTAGCAGCGCATTGAAAACATGCTCTGAGTCATTTTAGTTTACTCCGGCAATTCAAACCCACAAAGCCAGAAAAGCCCTGACTTGGTCTTCAGCATTGCCTCTGGAAGTCCCACAACATACTCTGTCCTACAGAGAAAGTCCTACGGCATGAGCGGGATTCACGCTAATATACACTACAGATGCTACACTTAGCAGAGCAGGGTAAGATTTCACTATTAGTCTGTCCTACCACAGAACATTTCAAAAAGTAAAGCACTGGGCACCTTGAACAACCCCCCTTCCTGCACCTTCTACTTTACTTACAGACCAGTTCTTACCACTGTGTTGCTCCAGATTCACACTTAGTGACGCCCAAATGGGCTTAAGCAAATAAGTCAAGTCGTCACCATTCAAGCTACCTCTTCTTACTGGTGAAAACACATCTTCTAAACTAATATATTTTTATATTAGGCAGAACCTATGCTTCCACTAACAATACAGTATGCAAACCCACAAATACTCCATTTGTATCATTTACACCTTTGTGAAAGGGTGTTACACCATGACTGGTGGCAGTCACACAGCAGAAAGCTGCGTAGTCAGGTGTAAGGCAGAGAAGACAACAGTTCATGTTACAGACTGATTTTTAGTATACTGATCTTTAGCGCTGAAAACCTCACAGGTTCAGCATTTTCCCTGAGAGCATTATTTCCCTATTTCAAAAGTTTAACAAAAAATTATTCAACTGTCTTGAATTAAGGCGTAGTTTTCAAAAACAGCTTCCTGTAAAAAAAATGAAAATAAAATTGCTACAACATCCCTCCACATGCGTCAGAAAGATTAACTGTGAAGCTCAGCACGCAATGCTCAGTATGGAGCATACATATTTAGAAGGCAAAACCCAACAGAAATTATGAGAGTTACAGATGCTTGAAGTCTGCATTCTGTGAAGAAGGGGAGAACCTTTGAATGGGTGTCAGTGGGCACCAGTCTACATCAAGTGCTTAAAGAAGCTTAAGAATTTACACTACTGTAACTTCTCAAAGCAGCTTAAAAGGTACTTTCAGCTCCTTCCTCTTTTAAAGATAAGAGAGACCAGGGGTCTTATCATGAGTCTTGTGATATCAAGTTACATACATCTGGCTCCTGGAATCATAGAAGACACAGTAGCCTCACTAAAAAAAAAAAATCGCGGTCCTTATAATCATGGTAAAAAGTCTAGAAACCTGCATGAAGCACATCATGAAGATTCAAACCCAAATGGCAAATAAAAGAAACATAGAATGCTTTTAGTTTTAAAACCAGCATCTTTCCGCTCAACCTCATAATTCTGACACTCTAACAGGATTTGAGATTTGAGTTGGGCAACAACAGGAGAAGTCAAGATGCCAACTTAAAGTGGTTCCATCGCACGTCTGTTACCTCCCTCCCCATGAATGTACTAGTTTAGCTATGTATCATAAGCAAATTAGCTTTATTGTGGTAAGTGTAGTGTCAAGAAGATTACAGTGCCAGCTGTTAAAAGTTTAGGAGCCTTATGAGTAAGATATTTTGTATATACCTTGTGATGCAATGTTAGAAACTGCACCACCGTGTCTGATGCTCCAGACACCCTGAGCATTGGAAAACAACACACTCTCTCCAAACCAAGAGGTGACCATTTGCTGAATATTCTTACGAAACGTCTGCAAAATTCAGCCACCAGAGGAACCTTTGACACGTTCTTACTCTGTCCTCCTTCCCTCTCGCTCCTCTCAGCCCTTCAGCCGAGGGCTGCTCCGCGGTGCAGCCACAGGAGCAGACCCGCAAGAAAAAATGACGGTCTCCAGGCGCCAGACAGCGGGAGTCCTCACAGCTTTCATGCCCTCAGGGAAGGCGAACAGCGCACCCGCGGCGACCGCTGCCTTAGCACCTGTGGACATGACCACACCAGGCTTGTTCAACAGCCCTCCCTCCGCCTTGCCAAGGAGAGGGAGGCGGCCGAAATCCACGGCTCGGGCTCTGCTCAGCAGGCCGCATAGCACAACCATGGA